GGCCACTGCACTCCAGTCTGGGTGACAGAGTGAGACTCCAATTCAAAAAAAAAAAAAAGTTCAGCAGTTTTACATTATACATTATTTGCATATTAGACATAGAATCCATACAAATAAAAGTACATGTAAATACTTCTCCCTACTTTGAATTAGTAAATCCATTTTTAAAAAATTTGAATGGCTGGGCGTGGTGGCTCAAGCCTGTAATCCCAGCACTTTGGGAGGCCGAGGTGAGAGGATTGCCTGAGCCCACAGGCTTGAGAACAGCCTGGCAACTTGGTGAGACCTCATGTCTACAGTATATCAACAAATTAGCTGGGCATGGTAGCATGCACCTGTAGTTCCAGCTACTTGGAAGGCTGAGGTGTCTGTGAGCATGCCACTGAACTCCAGCCTGGGCTACGGAGAGACTTTGACATCCCCCCCACAAAAAAAGGGAGTGAGCAATGTGCTTCTCCCCAAGTGACAGGAAATAAACTTCAGAATGCTTATTTCTGCCAGATGGAAATTATTGGCTGTATTCCCTATCAGAAAAACAAATAGCATTATATACGCACATATCCAGTCCCTCTTTCTTCGTAAATTTGTTTCAGAATTCTTAGTAGTTTGGTGCGAAACAACAGTTGGGTCTACAGTTGTGATACCGCACAAGACTGAAAAGCAAAGAACCTAGACCCTTCAAGAATCTAGACACTGGTTGAACATCTACTTTTCATACAACTAAAGAATACCTGACAGAGTAAACCACACTTGGCATTGTGGAGATGCCAACAAGTCTTAAGATGGCAATGTGTAACTGAAGACCCCACCCCAGTTTCTTTGGAACTATGAGTACCTCCATGAATTTTGATGTGGCGTTGAGCATACAGGTTTTGTGTTCTTCACCCTTGTACTCAAAGGGTACCATGACAAAACCGATGGCTTCAGGGATGGCCAGGATGAAGGAGAGGATCCAGATGGAGACAATTTCGATGGCAGTGACCAAGGGAATCCCAATTCCCTGAACCCGACTCCAAGAAGCAACTGCTCTGTACCTGAAAAAAAAAAAGGGGACACGGGACCAGGCTGTTAGGAAACTGTAAATTTATTTCAATTCAATGAAAATTATAAATGCTAGGAAGCTCCTTTCCTTGGCTAGCGACCAATCTTTTACTTTTTAGGAATTTTCTGACTCTTGGTGTGAAAAATAAGTGGGACCATTGAGACTTCCACCCATCTGGAAATCAATTGGCTGGCAGGCCTGAGTCTGAGGTCTTTGTTTGGGGGTCTCGTGAAATTTCAAAAGATTTTAGAATATGGCAGCAACAGACAGATGTGCCTATGTTTTTTTAAGCTGGAGAGATGGGAGAGGGGTAGTGAAAGCTGCTGGTGCTTGTTATAGTAATAGTTTATTTTTCTTTATATATTTAGAAAGAAGCTGGGTATGGTGGATGCCTGTAACCCCAGTACGTCAAGAGACTGAAGTGGGAGGATCACATGAGCCCAGGAGTTCGAGAGCAGCCTGGGCAACAAAGTGAGACTGTATTTCTACAAAAAATAGAAAAATTAGCCCAGTGTGGTGGCATGTGCCTGTAGTCCCAGCTACTCAGGAGGCTGAGGCAGGAGGATCCCTTGAGCACAGGAATTTGAGATTGCGGTGAGCCGTGATTGTGTCACTGCACTCCAGCCTGGGTGACAGAGTCTCAAAAACATAAACAAAAACTGAAAAAAACAAAAACAAAACTTGAAAACATTATCTATGAAGTGGGTCTAGCTATCCTGGAGTGTGTAGTGACCACTGTGTCTTCTTCTACTCTCAAAACATGATCACAGTGGACTTGTTGGAGGATGGTTTTAGTAAATAAATAATATTTGTGGTAAAAGTTAAAGAATGACTATATCTCTCCCATTATGGTCCTGGGCTAAAGTAGATAAAGCTGAGTTAAAGGTACTTTGGTTCCTAATCTTTAGGATTTATAATTTAACAGAAAAGAATAGTTCATATAGAGTATAGGATTGAAATGTCACTGAAAAAATATGTCAATCAAAAAACTAGTATTAAAGAAGTTATGCTTATCTTATGTTTTACTTTATATTTTTATGATAATAATCATATTAGATGTTATGTCTACAGATGGTTTGGTTTAGAAACTCTATGCTCTTTGACCTGATATGATGGTCTAATGCTAACTGCTTTTAGACTTACGATTAAGAAGAGACCTGTGTGGGGTATGATATTTTTGTGGTCTCATTCTTGAAATTTTTGTTGCTGTAGTAATGGAAAGGAAACGTTTTCTTTTTATAATTTCCATTAGATAGTGCCAGAAGAAGGTCATAAAATAGACCAATACATGGGGGACAGGTGCACATGGTTAGGAGGACATACAACCTAATGTAGAAGATTAATCAATAAAGCCAAGGTAACATATAAGCTATCCATATCCACCAAGATAAATCCCCTTCACTTATACTGAATGTCCTGTCTTAGGGAATCTACACAATACATCTGTGAAAATACAACTCTTGGGAATTATGCTGCCTAATTCTTCACTGGAATTACCTGTAGATTAAAACTTACAGATTTGGGTATTTTACAATGATGCCACATGGCATAAATATATATATGTGTGTGTGTGTGTGTGTGTGTGTGTGTATTTGTATATATATATGTATATATATGTGTGTGTGTATATATATATATATGATATATATATCAACATTTGCTGGAGAAATATTTTACAAAACATTTTCAGGGTAAATAAGACTTGCGTACAGCAAATTCAGTTTAGTACAGAATGAAATAAAATACAGCTATGCAAACAGACCAAGAAAGTCCTCTTGCCATATAGCCAAGATTGCATTTTAAAATTTATGGTTATTTCCAGTGGGATAAAGACCACTGTTTATTTTTCTTTCCATTTCTGTTTACTTTCCTTTGTTGCCTTATTAGACTGGCAGCTTGATGTCCAGTAAAAGCTAAAAGGAATGGAGATGTAATGTCTATATACCGAGGCTGTCAAGTGAGTTACATCTATGTCTTCTCCCCCTTCCTCACCTCAGTTACCAGGGAAGATGATTTAGATAAAATACCCTATTCTATCAGAGAGTAAGAAAGCCAGATTTCTTTGCCAGGATTTGGGATGGAATGGCTTAAGGAAGAAAATGTGGTCAATGTGCTCTTATGATGAATTTATTCATAGACCAACTTCATTTTATAATGTGCCATGAGTTCCCAGAACATTACACATCCATAATACAAAGTACATTCAACATTTAAAAATAAGTAGAAGTAATTTTTAGAGTCTAGCAAGTGATTCATAATCAGTCTGCTTCTTCACTAGCCCACATCACTGAGAATTAAGAATATTTTCCACTTGTCATCACTCTGATCTTGATAGCATCTCTAGGAGATAAGGAGAAAACAATCATAAGAGCAATTAGAAACAACTATTTGTGATGATGGAGGTGGGGGAAGGTATGGAAAATATGAATTACTGGATGTTTCAGAACTGATTTCTATTTGGTATACAACACACGCACACACATAAATATGCCCTTCTTATTAGCTGTGATTACAAACAGGGTTCAGTTTGGTAGTACATGTATATGACATCTACACTTGTCATAGAAAATCCACAAGTTGTAGATTCCATGACCAGCAGCTGACATTCCAGAAATAATCCCTCCTCTTTGAAATGCTTTCTTCCCTTGACTCCCACCGTATTCTCCCAGTTTTTCTTCTGACTTAGCTGGTCACTCCTTCTCATTTCCTAGGCTAGACTCTGCCCTCTTCCCAAATTCTCAGTCTTGGATTTCTCTTAGGGTTTTGTCCTTGGAAATTTTTGTCTACCTAAATGCTCTCTATTGATGATCTTATCCAATCTCATGGCTCTAGTATTATTTAACTATCTATATGCTGAAAATTCCTAAATGTATATCTCTAGCCTGGAGCCACACCTGTAACTCTAGACTTGTGTATCCAACCGCCTACTTGAGAGTGCCACTAGGACATCTATTGGGCATTCAGGTCTACCCAAAGCAGACTCCTGGTCTTCTTTGCTCTCAAACCTGTCTCTTCTCCAGTTTTACTAGCTCAGGCCCCAAATCTTGGGGGTTAGCCTTCACCCCTCTTTTACTACTCATTCAATCCTTTAGCAAATCTTGCAACAACTTCCTTCAAGTATGAAGGGGGATCCCAAGAAACCCTGGAATTTATAAAAAGTTGTGTATTTATTCTTACATGTTTAAATTTCAGTCACCTTCAAAGTACTCTCCATTTGATGCAGTGCACCTATCAAGACGCCTTTTCCGTTGTTCAAAAAAGTTTTCGAATGTGTCCATTTTGATGCCTTTTAATGTTGCCGTTTTTTTGTTTCACCTCTTTGATATGGGCACAATGTTTCCCTCTGAGGACTTTTTTTTCATTTGAGGAAACAACAAAAAAAAGCCACTCGGGCTGAGAAAGGGTGAATATGGAGAGTAGGGCACAGGGCTCACGCTGTTTTTGGTAAAAAATTGCTGAACATTCAGTGTGGTGTGGGCAGGTCATTGTTATGGTGGAAGAACCAGTCACCACAACTTGAGGCATTTCTTCTGCGAATTGTGATGCAGCCTTCTCAAAACTTCCAGGTAAAAACTGTGGTTTTGATCCAGGGAACAAATTCTGAGTGTACTACAAGATAATTACATTTTTTTGGTCCCCTCCTTATATATCCAAACGCCACCACTTTTCACCATCTATCACACCTGTTATCATACTGCCTTGTTTATTGCAATAGCTTTCTAACTGGTCTCCCTGTGTCCACCTTAGCTTGTCATAGCCTACTTTGAATACAGCAACTGAACTGAGCCTGTTAAGTCAGATCACGGCATTCCTCTGTTCAAGACCTCTCAGTGGTTTCCCACCCTTATGGGAATACTCACAGGTATCCTCAGAGTTCCTTCTTCACTTCCTTATGATCTTTACTCAATTGTATATTTTCATGGAAGCCTTCCCTGGAGACCCTATTTAAAATTGCCAACTCCCCTTCCAGAACTGTACAACTCACCTCAATTTATTTCTCTCCATAGCACTTACTACTATGTGACCAGCTAAATGTTTTATTTATTTACTTTGCTTATAATCTAGGCCCATCCCTCCCTTTAGGATATAAACTCCATAAGGGCAGACATTTTGTATGTTGGCCACAATACCTAGAACAACAGGTGCCAAATAAACACCTGTGGAATGAAGTGTCTTTTTGTTGTTGCTGTTGTCTCCATGTACATTGACATGCATCTGTCCTACTTAACTGGCCCAAGCTAACTGCACACTACAACTTGAACATTTTCCTAATTTTCAAGCTAGCCTTAAATTAGGCAATAGATACAAAGGTAATATTTTAAGAAGCCCAGAATCAATAATTTAAAACAAGGAGAGATCTTTGGGGTGATCTCACTGCCCCTCATGTTCGTGCTGAGAATCTGAGGACCTGTATGTCACTGTGTCCTCTGCCCGGTCCCAGTGAATGTAGGCTCTGGGCTGCTAATTCCCAATGGAGTCTTTCCTACTATATCACTTTGTACCCTGTCATGTAACAGGCCAAAATACAAGTATAAATTATATCCTTTATTTATGTAAAAATATTTGTCACTGTGTATGTCTATAAATAGATTTTTAATGTTTTCAAGGCCAGAGGCATTTAATGCGTGTTTATGGAAACTAAGGTATGGCCTGGAACAGTCATTAAATTAAAAAATTTATTACTGAGAGAAATTTAAAATATTATAAAATAAGATTCAAAAGATACCACTTCAACAAAATTTTTATTTTTCTTATTTTTTCCCACTTTCGTTCTTATAGGCATAGTTTGAATGTATACTACAATCATATTACTTACAATCTTATATGTTAAAAAATAATCTCCCATGTTTCTATATGAGCATGGTACTTGTCAATTTAATGACTACACAGAATAACAAGATTTTGGCATAATTTAATTGAATCACCAGGCATGGCGGCTTATGTCTGTATTCCCAGCATTTTGGGAGGCCGAGGTGGCAGGATCACTTGAGCCTAAGATCTTGAGACCAGCCTTGGCAACATAACAAGACCTGTCTCTACAGAAAAAAAAAATAGCTGGGTGTGGCTGTATGTGCCTGTAGTCCCAGCTACTTGGGAAGTTGAGACAGAAGGATCGCCTGAGCCGAGGAGTTCCAGGCTACAGTAAGTTGTGATGGTGTCACTGCAACTCCAGCCTAGGTGACAAAGTGAGACTCCCACTCAAAAAAGGCAGATATATAAAAAATAAAATAATTTACTTGAATCTTTCTTCTATGTTCACATTGTTTCTAGTATTTCACAGCTGTGAATAGCATTCTGATAAATGTGTTTGTACACATATTTTTTTCTCTTTCCTAAAGATTTTCCTGGATTAGTTGTCTTGAGTGGGATTACTGGGTCAAGAGAATAAAAAGGCTGCCAAAGTATCATAAAAAAAGTTTCTACCAAGTGTCTGTCAATGAATGCTCACCTGCATTAGAAATTATTACTTTCTCTTTTATAAAATAAAGTGGCTTTTATCTTTACTTCTGCACATCTCTAATGAATAGTAAACATGACCATTTGTAATGGTCATTGGTGATTTATATCTCTTGTGCCATACAGAGGTTTGGAGGCAAAAATACTAGCAGAAAAAAATAGTACACAGAAGCCAGGTGTAATGAAATAAAAGAGATCTACAAATGCTTTGCCACTTTTTCAACGGAGCTCTCTCTTTTTTGAGTCAGAGTCTCACTCTGTTGTCTAGGCTGGGGTGCAGTGGCATGCTCATGGCCATGGTAGCCTCTACCTGCTGGGCTTAGACAATCTTTCTGCTTCAGCCTTCCAAGTAGCTGAAACTACAGGCGTGTGCCACCACGCTCAGCTGTTATTTATTTACTGTAGAGACGAGGTCTTGCCATGTTGCCCAGGCTGGTCTAGAACCCATGGGCTCAGGCAGCCCTCTAGCCTCTGCCTCCCAAAGTGCTGGGAGTGTTGAACCAACATACCTGCCTCTCAACTGAGCTCTTAAACTGGGCTGGCTGGTCACTGCTTTTTGATACAATGACAGTATCAAGAATGATGCTTTGTCAATTCCAGGCCTGGTTTCTGAAAGGGCTGGCAGGTTCCATGCTGGAGCCCGGAGCCTGTGGTAGCAAAAATGTTGTGTGACCACGAGACTATATGGAGAGAGAGATGGGCTCTGCTGAGCTCAGGCTTCCAGCTGTCACTGACAAGATGTCAGACATGCTGGTGTTGGACCCAGGAGACAAGCCCAGCACCAGTTGAAATCCACCAATGACCCCGGTGGAAGTGACAAGGAGTGGAAGAATTGTCTACATTCCTGACCCACAACATGGTGAGATATGATATAACGGGTGTTGCTCTGAGCTGCTAAATTTTGGGGTAGTTATCAAAGAGAAATGGGTAGCAAAATTAACCAGTTGCCTGATCTTGACAATAAAGTAAGATAAAGGAATGAATAACTATGTGCAACAGGGAACAGACCCAAAAGTGAGACCCCGAGTTGCCCCGGCCAGGTCTGACTTTGCCTCTGTCTGGCTCCCAGCTTCTCTCTGCTGTCACAGCTCCTTCCTCCACGTCATCACTATTGTCAGGCAGAAGTAAATGATCATAATACCCGGAGAATAAGGAGAAAGCCAATCTAATAGAAAAAAAGTTTTTCAGAAAATCACCTTCATGTTTCTTGAGTTAGGATAGAACCTTGAGAATATCATAAAGACCATTGAGCAATGATTTGAAATGGTGGGTTGAAGAACTGACATCAGCTTTTGAGTCCGAGGCACATAAAGCTGCCTTATTAATGGATCTTTGTAACTTTTCCAAGTATCTAATTACATACCACTCTGGAATAGTTGTTAAAAGAGTTTTATCTTTTTACAGCCTTCTTGCTTGGGCGACTTTGAACTGCAAGTTAGATCTGTACCCAGACCTTTTTACTGGTCTGACCCTATCATCATCACCATCTTCCACTTTAAACACAGCTTTACAAAGAACAGGATTAAGCTCCCTCCCACACCCCTGTTCTTTCTCCTCTCCCCCCAACTCAAAGTACCATGTAAAATCTGTCACTTATGGTATATAAGAATACCTATTTTAATACTTGGTAATGACTGATTTTTCATGCTTGTTGGAAAAAATTCATTTATTTTAGAAGTTGACTGCCTTAGAATTGAAAAATATATATATTTCACTGAGAAAACTAGATAGGAGTCAAAATTTGTTTCTAAATTTCTTTAGTTTCTGACTTATCTTTTTTCTTAAATGACTAAGAATGTGAAGTTAAAAATAAATAAATAGAAGTTAGATTTGAGGAGGAATTATTAAAAAAAAGTTAAACTAAGACAAGTCTATAGGTGAAAGACACAAGGAAAACATTTCCATTCTGGCACAGATCATGCGTGTTTTGTACTCTCATGGTTACCTCACTTAGATTAAAAGCTGATAGTGTGAAAGCTGGTCATGAGAAGGCTAGATCTCTTCTTTGACTTTACAGCATTCTGTAACCATTGATTCATGAGGTAATAAAGAAATTCTATAGAACTCGAATGTGTAGTTTCTCTCATTATTTCCCCTTAAAACAACTCTGAAATGAGACATAATAATTATATTTTTAAAATATCATGTAAAAAGATCATGGGAACTCTTTGTCCTGGGCCATAATTTATTCAACTTGTAAGAATGAACATAGGAATTCACAAACTGCTAACTGTTTTGTAACAGGTTCCAATTTCTCTCTTCTTACTCCTTGTTTTTTTTTTAAGTGATTTTTTTAAAGGACAATAGAATGCAACCAAATGAAGACTGAAAGCAAGTGGAATCTTATCCTTAGGAATTAGGTGTGAATAACACAGTCTCTAGTACGAAGGTTTTTGAAATAGAAATGTCAAGTAGATTCCCTATATACAGGTTCCAAAGCTTAGAGTCAACACCAAATTAAATGTAAAAATACCAAAGAATGGATCTGGGGAACAAAGGATGATGAGTTTCCTTCCAAGTGAAAACCTTTTAGATTAAAGCTGGTTTTTGTGGGAGTGGAATTTTAAAAGGGTGAATTTTGATTTAAAACTCAGACCAAGTCTTAATAAAATAGATTTGGCATTATGTTTTCGACTAAGGATAACATAGTGTGACACACAACTGGTTGTTGTGATGGACCATCTAGCCTGTTCTTTTTCATGCATGATATGGGTGAGGTGACCTTACACCAGAAAGAGGCATCTGTGACCTAACGACTTTGTGCTTGTCTCCCACATCCCTGCACACTGGTAGGATTTAACAATGGTAAGGATTGAAATTCAGCAAGATGATCCTCTGAGGTTTCTTCCAGGAAAAAAGCGGGAGCAGAACAAAAGTGTGAGGAGAAACCAGCCCTGCCCCCTGGGCCTATGGCAGGAGTGACAAATATTTTTTCCCTCTATTTTTTGTTTTCACATTTTATGCTCCCCCCCCCACATCTGGATCTCCCTTTGTTGCCCAGGCTGGAGTGCAGTGGCACAATTATGGCTCACTGTAGCCTTGGCCTTCTGGTCTCAGGCCATCCTCCTGCTTCAGCCTCCCCAGGTGCACACTATCACACCCAGCTAATTAAAAAAAATTTTTTTTTTGTAGAGAACAGAACAGGTCTTGCTATGTTCCTTGCTGGCCTTGAACTCCTGGGTTCAAGCAATCCTCCTGTCTCGGCCTCCCAAAGTGCTGGGATTACAGGCATGAGCCACTGTGCCTGGCTACCTCTCTTTTTGGGAGACATGTTTTTCTAAACCCAACAAGAGAACAAAGAGAAAGAACTATGTTACCTGTCGACACTAAGAGCGCAGAGGTTGAGGACGGTGATCCCCACTGATGACTTCTGCAAAAAGGGGAACAGCTTGCAAAGAAACACACCGAAGTCATTGTGATCGAAAGGCCAGCGCCCCGCCAACAGCTGAAAGAAGAAGACACAGTCATAAGAAATGGTAGAGCTGACATGAAACCTGTGGGCACTTACATTTACAGTTACAAGTCCCAACTTCTAAATTTTATTCATTGTGCTTTCCAGTTAATGTGTTAGCACCAGGGTACTAGTGTTTTTATTTGTTCTTTCATATTTTATTTATTTATAGAAAGCAGGATTTATTGAGAGGACAGAAAATCTCCCGGAGCAGGAGGGGACCTGAGGGGGTTTCCTTTCCTTCTTTCATATAAAATATTATAATTATCAACTTATAGTAATATATGAATATAATATTTCTGATATATAATACATTAAGTATGTATTATATCTTAAATGTAATCTATTCGGTGGATGCATACGTTCATAGTGTTTTTCACTTGCCCATGGAACACAAATGTTGGACAATGGTTGTCTGGTCACAGTTCACCATATTTGCTAGTTCTTGGGTGGACTCATGTGGATCTTCATGGATTAAAGCATTTATATGGTCTTCATCAAAGCTGGATGGTCTTCCCGAACGTGGAGAATCACCCAGGTCAAAGTGGCCCTCTTTGAAACCACAAAACCATCTTCTTGTTGTGCTTTCCCTGATGGCATCTCTCATGCATGACACAATTGTTTGGAGCTGCCTCTGCTGCCTTTACTCCTCTGTTAAACTCAAACAGAAGAATATGTTGGAAGTGTTTGTTTGTTTCCACCTGACACCCCATCTTCTTTAGCCCACAAATAGCACTAACTTTCTTCAAATCTGCAAAATGCAAGGTGTATTCACAAGCACAGCATTGTCACTCCAAATGGCAAATGACGAACAAGAGACACACTCCCAAACCACGGTTGCCATGCCAAAAACAAACACTATGAACTTATGCATCAACCTAATAGAATATCATTTAATAACACCTCTAATCTCATATGACGTAGTCACATGACCTACTTTCCAAAGAGGAGCTAAAATTTGGGGTTTTGGGTGACAGCTCAACTGAGAAGCAGGCAGTGGTCTCTTATCAGTCCTTACTAGACCATGAGCCATGCAAATTATTTGACCTAGCAGCATTGGAAGACTCTATTATCTCCTGAAAAGCAGCCAACACTCTGAATGGAGGTGAGGGAGAACACTGGAAAATGAAGTGGCTTAGGATGTACTGATTTTGCCAGCAAGTTAACACCTACAGCCACCCTGAACTTACCTTTTTCTCTGTGCTTAAAGGGCTGATTTTGTTTCAGTAGGTGTGACATAGTGGTTTTTCTCTATTTAGACCCAAACTTTCCCTTATCAATCAGGAAAATGTGGTTATGTGGTTATAGTGATCTGTCTGTAGCATTTGCAGAAAATTCTGTTCTTCCATGTTGACCATTTAAAAATCTTGGTTCCAAGATGGGTGCAACCCTCTAGTGGCTGTGCTAAGTAGAACAGAACACAACAGTAGCTAACAAACAGTTCCCTGTGAGTTGCTGATATTTGTTTAAGTAGATATTAGACTAGGAGCATGGACTTAAATACCAGCTCAGTTACCTAAAAGAAGGAAGTCCCTGCTGGATATGTGATGAGTTTTCAAGAGTAAAAATGGTATTGATTCCCCTTCTAACTTTTGCTTAGTGACTCAGAATTTAAACTTACTCCAGTCAACAGGAAACAGTATCCTACTAACTTAAGAAAGTTGCCTTTTAAAATCTTTTTTTGCATAGTACTATTTGCCAAAGTAACTCTAAGCTGAGCTTTAAATTTCTACTTTACTGTTTCCAAAAGATTATGTGTGAGATTTAATTTCATGGTCAGTGTGGTCATTAGTATGAGTCCATTGAAAGAGGTTGGGAAACCAGTACATTATAGAAAACAAAATCACAATCTATGCATTTTGAGACTGTAGTAACACAGGGTGGTCTCTCCTGTCTTGATTGTGGCTAAAACCCTATATGACTTCATTTCAGAAGTGTTCCCCTTTTAATATTCAAACTTTTCTCCCTTTCATTTAAATAGTTTTTGAAAAGGACCTCTTCCTTCAATCTAATTCTGCCTTTGGCATCTCCTTACCTTACTGTAACCAGTCTTGATCACGGATCAAAAATTTCCACATAAAATTTTGTCCAAGGACACCCATATGACTCTTCACATAGATGCTGCCCTAACCTCTGATGATTTTCATGAAGCTAGCAAGTATTCATGTCATTATTGGGTTGCTGGTTATTAATGCTTAGTGTAAGTAAAGACATAAAATATCACTTTTGAGATGAATTACTCAAAGATAAGAAAACTTGAAAACTACTTTTTAATAGAATAAGAATTTTCTAGAAAATTCTGGCCCAGAATGATAATTCTTTAAAGACCACAGATATGTCATTAACACATGTCAGAACTGTTACGGGATATGCTTTGGAATAATGGCACGGTTCCTGTTTGTTCATTCCTGGAGATTAAGAGCATCCTGAAATCCACAGATTTCCCAGTTCACATATCCAACAATGAGAGAAAAGAAGAGGATGTTTCTTCCTTAATAAGGGAGACTCTGATGTTTTGTGAAGGTCTGAGTGGCAAGTGCTAAAAAAAGACAGAAAAATCACAACTGAACATGGATCCTTTCAGATTCTTCCAACCTCAATGATACGTTTTCCTTTTACATGCTTCCTTGAACTTTTTTTTTTGAGTCGGAGTCTCACTCTGTCATCCAGACTGGAGTGCAGTGCCATAGTCATGGCCACTGAGACCTCGACATACTGGGCTCAGGTGATCCTTCCAAGTATCTCAGCCTTCCAAATAGCTGGAACTACAGGCATGTGCTACCATGCCTAGCTAATTTTTTGATTTATTGTAGAGATGAGGTCTCGCCAAGTTGCCCAGGCTGGTCTTGAACCCGTGGGCTCAGGCAATTCTCTCACCTCACCCTCCTGAAGTGCTGGGGTTATAGGTGTGAGCCACTGCGCCCGGCCTCTTAAACTTTTAACTAAGATTTGGTTGGGGTTAATTGTGAAGGAAGGACAGAAAGAAAAGACATCATGGAATCAGTGGGCCATCAAAAGATCCTGGAATTGTCTTTCTTTGAGACAAATTGATGTGGTGGTGGTGGCAGGGTTAATTTTCTTTTTCTTAGGAGCATTGGTTCTTGGGGAATTATAAACAAAAGGGAATGAAAGAACTAGTTCGAGCAAATTTTGAGGTATAATCACAGTGTAAACTTCTCTGACTTAGATCTATGTCAACCTGAAAGGATGTATGGTTGGTGAGTTCAGTGTTGCCAGCAGATAATTAGGTCCCTGCCTGTAGGCAAGTTTCCCCTCTGTTTTCCTCTCTTCACCTTTCTGGTTAAATGTAGCTTCCTCAGAGAGGCCTTCATTAACTACCAAACTCAAGTAGCACCTGCCTGTTAATCCCATTCATGGAAACTGTGTTGCAGAAATCTTACTTTCAAAGTCTCTTTTGGCTTGCTGTGGTTGAGCAATGAGACATATACAAAAGCAGGGGACATTATGGAGGCAAACTGCGGAGCTCACTTTTTTTCTCTCATTTGGAAGAAACATTTTAGAGTTTCCTGAAGAAACTACTGGAAATGAATCCTTTCTGTAATTTACTAGTACTCAAAATTTAAAATATAATATGTAAAATGGTAAAAATTAAGTGGTAGTGTAGAAAAATTTACATAATGAAAAGTAAGTTTCCCTAAACTCTCTGGCGCCTAAACTCTCTGACCAAAGGCAATCACAGTTAATTGCTAAGTATGTTTTCTTCCTATGTACACAAAAACATATGCCTTTTTTATAAACAAGTGGGGACATATGGAACTAATACCGTTTAGTAATCTATTATGATCTTTTTTCCCTAGAGTAATTTTCTGAAAAACAATTCTATTGCCTAACTAAAGGTTTTGATTTTTAAAATTATGTTGAGGAAATAATTTAGGCTAGGAGAGGAATAAATAAGTAACTGTTTAGGATAATGTCTAGACCATGGCAAAAGAACTCCTTGATTTCATCAATGTTAACAAGCTACTATCAATTCAATTAAAAAAAAAAACCTCAAACTAGTCTGACAAACTGACAAGTTGCATTGGTTCGAATGGTTAATCTGGCAACTTAGGGCAGTCAGAGCTTTTTATCTTTGGCCATAAAAGGGTCTATATGCTATGTAACCCTCACATTTTTAACTTTAGCACATAGTAGGTGTTGAATGTAGCAATGTCTGCAACTCACAAATGAGTCAGTGACTCCAACTCATTGAATTAGGACAATATTTCCATATTTTGAAATGAGATGGTAGCAATTTTGCCCTGAAAACACATTTATCATGTAATTTATTTTGTATTTAAAAGTCATTTATTGGTATCCAAAAGTAGTATCCCCACTCCTTATGTTGATAGGAACAAAACATGTCAGAGGTTGTCAGAGGAAGTGAGGGAATACTGGTCCATGTAACAGTCTAAGTTGAAGAGTGACTTCCACTAACTCTGCTTAGAGACATCTCATTCTGGTCTGTGCTGAGACTGCCCAGCTTCCTAAGAGTTTCCCAGAAGCACTTGGAGATGATGCACATTCTGTGGACTAAAAGCACATCATGTGCCTCCTTCTCAAGTAGATCACAGAGGAACACCATGGAAAGCATCACTGAGACATCAGAGGCAATCTGCTGAACATGGTTTTTTCTGGATACTTGTCTTTGTTCTAACTGAGGGATCTTTTCTACAGTTGAAGTATACTTCAAAGGCTCTGATGCCCACTTGAAAACTAAATCACTCCTCAATGGCATACATTAATATGGAATTCTACATTTGTGCGGCTGATTTGAATTGTGTCAAAATCATCATCATGAAATTGACAGGTTGCACATTTTAATCTTTCCAAAACAGATTCAGGTAGGGTAGGACTTGTATCCTAAGCACCCTGGATGTGTACTAATAAGCACCCTGTTTTTAGGATGGCTATATCCACTTGCAGAATCCACATCTGCCACTGTATTTAGTACAATCCGATAGCTCACTTGGTCGGGACATCTTAGATATAGG